GCCCGTACCTTTCCTCATTGCAAACATGAGGCNGAAAATGATCTCCACATATGTCTTTCAGATGTCCTGAAATGCACCACAAAGTCTTCTGAAACATGAACTCTTTGCCGTACCGAAATGTAGCCATATTGAGTCATTTCAGGTTCATTTCAGGCTACACAAAAATTATCATTTTCCTGCACCGCAAATGGCTACGAAAGTGGTGGCAAATCTATCATTTTAGGACACCAGAAAGCCCCGGTTAAGTCTCTGAAAATGAAACATTTTTGATGGCTTGACCGGGACATTTCAGGTGATCTGAAACCAGCTCATGCCTGTAGTGTTGTGATCTCCTCTTTGTCTTAGCGCTTAGCGCCGTCCTGCAGCAGAGAAAAAATAATATTATCCAGTTTCATCTCTTAATCTCAATCACAGGGTGGTAAGCACGGTTTTTTTCTTGAAGAAACCCGGCCAAAATTGGGAAAACATGAACTAATTGTTCCCCGGTTGTATATTGGGGTAAATTGGTGCGTAAATTGGTGCAAAACCGGCCAAAAGAGGCTGAAACATGACAAAACTAGCAGAAAAGGAAGTTTTGTCTCCAAGTTTTCTCGAATGAAAACTGGTTAAACACAGGTTCTTGTTTGCCTAGCTTTTGGCTGGTTATGCAAGCATAAAAACTGCACCTACCACCTAGTGAATCCGCCACTACATACAACCTACGAACAGAGTAACAACAGAGGGTGACAAGCAATTAGATAAGGGAAGACAAGGTACAATAAGGTAAACTGAGCGGCAAACGCGTAGCTGCCCTCCGAGAGAGTAGAAACATGGAGAGCAACAGTCGAAGATTGGAACTATATGCAACGTCTGAGCGCTGATCAAGTGTGAACAGAAGACTCTTAGCAATGACAAATCAGATTGGAGGTTCTAATATTAGAAAATCATCTGCGCATTCGCAGTAATCGCGCCGCGAGTGTCCAGCCTCAGTACAACCGTCCGAAAATCGTCTTCGCCCGCACCCAGGGAGGGCCGCCCAAAATATCCGCCGGGTCACGGTTCTTCATCCCCCCGTCGCTCCTTCACTTTCTCGTCATCCTCAATGACCCTTGTCTGTACTGCCGCACTGAAACTCTTGCTTCCTCGGCTCCGATACGACATCTCAAGCTCCCTGCAGCGAGTCACGCTTCTGCCCACGACTCATTTATGCCCCAAAGTTCGTCCGCTCGCCCGACAGCGCACCCGGCTACCGCTCGATATCCACGCCCGCCCTACGTCTCCGTTGCCAGGTCTTCCTCGCCTTCACCGCCCACTCCCTCGTGCACTTCGATTCCTTGCACACTGTCGCCTGCCACTTCATGGATTTGCTCGAGCGCCGTGTGCTGAGTACTACCTGCGGTAGGTGGCGCGGCCTCTGAGCCCGTGTCTGCGGATGTTCCGCTCACGCGCGCAGCTACGAGCCGTCGTAGGTATTCCTCTCTTGTAATGTTATCTAGGTACCGCCGGACAGGGTTCAGCAACCACTCGGCTTGTTCGGCAATGTCAAGGGTGATTGTGGTGCCGTCGATGGTGTGTTCCGCTGGTACTGACGAGATATCTGCACTCGTGGCGGGATCACCAAAGAACTGCCCGAACTGCAGTTTACCCGACTCGAGAGCCCAGGTCAGCTGCGTGCGGCGCAGCACAGAGCACAGGATTCTCTTTGCTGCCTCGAAATCTTTGTTTTGTTGCTCGAAATAGTGGATACGAAGGTAGTGCATGGGCGGGGAATCAACGACGGCTCGCAAGGCGTCCCAATCAAGGGCATCCACGGCTTCGACATCCTCGAATGAGAGTTGGAGAGCGATGCTCTCGACATGCGCGAATGGAGATCCCGCATCCTGGCCCACACTCGGTTGGCAAACTCTAATTTTGGCTCTGAGATAATCGCCCAGAGACCCATCTTGATTACATGAATGGCCCGAGATTATCGCCGTGCCTAATTAGGAATGACTGGTGAGATTTGCACTGTGTGCATACGCTGGAAGACATACCAAACATACTGCCGTTCCAATCATGAAGCGACACACGCGCCGCTTCGAATGTGTTTGGTACCAATGCAAACAACGCTTGAAGAGTCGCATCCCATGCGCGGTCGTCAACGCCCATGCGACGACTTGGACCAACCGCAAGGATGTCAACAGCTAGCGCCGCTTGGTCAGAGACCGCCATATCCTTACACCGCGAGATATCGCACATCCAGAGGGCCGATGAAGGACGTCGACGGGCTCTGCGTGACTGGACAACTGGCGACGAGTCAAGGAAGGTGAGTTGGTTGCAGTTGCAGTACTCGAGCGTGGAAAAGCTGTCGACGAGTCGTGCAAGATCGGTTGTGCTCGTGAATACAACGCCTTTGAGGGTAAGGTCTGAGAGTCTGACGTAGGATGGAGTGACATTGGGTATCAATTGAAATGGGGCCCAACGGCAGGGTGCAGATACAGTATCGCCCGCAGGGCTCACGACGGTACAGTGGAATCTTGTGTCCCGGAGACGGGTTGAAAGTCCGTGGACATGGTGAAGCCAAGATTTCGCCTCTGTAGCTTCTTGGTAGATATCTATCTGCCGAATGGCCTTGGACAGAGATGAGGTCGCGAAAGTGGGACTGATGACGATGTTCTTGAGGAACCGTACGTCTTCGGCGCTGCGCAACTGGAGTATTTGGAAGAGGATAGGTCTGATGGCTTCGGACCAGTGCTTGCATACGAGGCTGGATCCGACGAGCTTGTGTTTTGACCGGCGACGTTCGGCCAAGTTCCGGCTGATATCGACTGGCATGACACTATCGAGAATACGCGACAGTATCTCAGGCGGAAGATCATCTCCTGTAATGCGCGACATCTTTCAGAGCGAATGGAAACACGCGGAGGAGGCTGCAGGATGCGAAAATGTGAGTACGAGTGTGGTGTAGGCGGGTGGACGGCGGACGACGCACCTGCACCGTCCTGCGGCGCTATATCAGAGCAGGGCACAGCCGTTCACCTCGTACGTACAAGGTTCACAAGTACACCATCTCGCAGTGTTCCCTTCAGTTTCATCGCCTCATGGGCGTCCCCAGGTGATCTGCGAGGAAACAGCGGCCGTTAGCGGCTGTCAACCTCTGGCGTCTCGTGTGAACGTGCGAGCATGCAGAGAAGCACACCAATTGGGTTCCTCAGGCCTCAATGACGGCGGCTGCACTGTGGCGTCGCAGGGAAAGACGCCATGGGATGTGTGAGGCAGTGCCGAGCGGCAGAACGGCTCAGAAGCCGCAGTGGCGGTCCTCGCCCGGAGCAAAAAATGTCCAAATCCTCCCAGGACACAGCAGCGAGTGCTGTCGCAGTCCACAGTGAAGAGACGAAAATAGATATGCATTGTTGCCACATGTTGTCATTCAAACGAAACCCCAAACTTTCAATTTCAACTTTCTACATCGTCTTCAGGATCCTGCTTACGAGCCATCGGCAGCTAGGGGTGTCATTCATCAAAATCAGCGGCCCCGATGTTCCCAAACTGCGCATCGAGTGCGAGGCCGTGAAGACCGGCAGGGCTCTGGTCGATGGCCTACTGGAAGAACGCATCCAGGTGCAACCCTGCACGCGTCCAGCACAAGTCACCGTCGAGATCTACAACGCTCGCACCACGTTTACCGCCGAGGACATCCTCTCCGCACCGACGTCCATCGGCTGGGACGACGAGACCGTCCCGCTCACCATTGATCAGCGCACAGGATGGGTGATGCGATGGGACGACGAGGAGAGAGTGGTCTACCTGCGGGAGCTGCTGCACGCTGCCCGAAACCAGGTCGACGATGGGCACAAGCTCTAGTAAGAGACGATGCGGCGGAGGACAGCGCGGCAGGGCAAATTCAAGAGGCTGCGGAGGGCGAGGACGAGGAGCAGAAAGAAGAGGGCGTGGAGCAGGAAGAGGAAGAGGAAGAGGACAAAGGTCTGCTGTCGGCTAGGATCCGTTATCGTCGAAGGGGCATGGACGGGCATGGACGTTCGGGCTGGGCCATTGATAGGTTAGTTCGCGGGGCAGATAGAGCGAGGAGCAGGCGGTGGCGGGTGGATAGTCGTGGATTCTGGGACGATAAGCGTACGTGATCATGGGGGATTCTGAATAGTTACAAATCCGCTGGACGACATGGTCATGTACTCGGTTCGTTACACCGAGATGCGGTACAGTTTACGCTGCCCTATCGCTCGATTCGCAAACGAACCAAACCTGCGTGGTTTCGATGGTAAGTGCTTCGTATTCGGGACGTCGTAGTCTTGGCAGACTCACCAGCTACAAGACCGTGTGCTGAGAAAGAGAAAACAGGAGCGTCTTGAGACCTCGGCTTGTGGTGTCTTGGTGCGCGCCTGTAGCAGCTCAAAGCGACAGCCCGCGCCGGCAGAACGAGACCAGGACATGGGGTGGTGTTCGCTCCCAAAGAATTTGCAATCTTCGCCCGCGACCGAGGCTACCCGACTCGACGATGATCAATCTGCGAAGCTTTTCATCGTGCGCGAGGGCGAAGTCAAGATCCGCTTGGCCAAACGTCTTCACGAGAAAGTCAGCATCTCCTACTACCTGCATCTTCGTGCTCTAGACGACCAGATGCTATGTGTAAGTTAGTTAATTGTGGTACAGTCCCAGTAAAAGCGACTGCGACGCACTTAACGTTGCGTCATGGCGCCCCAGCCATATTTCCGCCCCCTCGAGCTTGACGACCACGCTCACCCTGGCCTAATCCTTCGATCCTGCTCTCTCGACATCTTGTGCTTAGACCCCTGTGAGCCTGCCCAGTCATC